GGCCGCTCCACCGCGAATCTCCAACTCTTCCTCGTCCTCCTCGGTGCCGACGTTGGTTGCGGCGGCGACCTGGCAACCGCAGTGGTGCTCTGGGTCTCCAGCCTCGTGGGCCCGTTCGTCGCGCTCTCTGCGCTGTGAATTCTTCTTCCGTTTGTCGAAGGTGTCCTTGACGCCTAAGCGCCCAGTATGCCGAGCTCCCGTTCGGCCACCTTGACGTCCGCGTCCTCGGGCTCCGCCTCGACCCTTTGATGGGGATGCTACAGGTGCCCCGCCACGGTTCCGATGAATCACCTCGCCTGGTGCTCTCTCGCGCGCGCGGCGGATGGCGGCGAGGGCCTCGGGAAGCTCCGAGAGGTTGACCGCTGCCTTCTCCGCGGCATCGGCCTGCTCCTGGTTAAGGTCCTCCTCGTCGATGTCGCCGAGCTCCGTGGCGAGGGCCTCGAGCTCGCGCTGCGCGAGCTCTCTCGATTTCGCCGTCATCTTGACCAGCTCCCTCGTCGTACTCGTCCTTGTCGTCGTGCTCGAGGGCGTCCACCTACTTGGGTGGTGGTTGCCGGCCCTTGACGCTTCCTTCTGGTTTGAAGGGGGTCGTTCACGTTGGCTAGCATGCGCGTCTCAAAAAGCAGGATCTTGCAACTGTTTCTGTTCCTGTTCATGCTCTGACTCGTTCATCTGGCCGCCGGAGTTGCAGCCCAGCTGCGCAGCTCTGGGCCTGCGAGCCGCGGCCCCTGACCCAGGCCGGAGTGGACTTTGGACGCCCGAGTGGGTACGGAAAGAATGGGTACATTGCCCAACAACAACTGTTGTCCCAAACCAACAGCGGCCGCTGTTGGGCAAGCGGCCTTCTGTCTCAGATGGACACAGGCCGCGGCGGCGCGGACAGCGAGCCCTGTTCAAAATGAGCCAGATCCGCTGTTGGGCATCGTACCCATTCTTGCCGTACCCATCTCTCGGGCGTCCAGATGGACGGGCATGAAGACGAGCAGGCTGCGCCCGCTCCCGGCCGCCTCCGCGGGGCCAGGGCAGCGGGGGCGCGCCGGCCCCCGGCGCGCTGCCGCAGAGGAGGGGGGCGGGCCGCCCTCGGCCGCCTTCGCGGGGCCACGGCGGCGGAAGCACGCTGGATCACAACGCGCTGCGAAGAGGGGGCGGCGGCCAGGAGTAGAAATATGGAAATTACCCCAGTGCGACCCTACCTAGAAGTTGGAGCCCCCAGGAAAACAGCATTAGTTGCTATGCTATGCTATGTCATGCCATGCTATGCTGCGCTATGGTATGCTATGCTGTGCTATGCTGCGCTATGCTATGCTATGCTATGCTATGCTATGCTATGACATGCCATGCTATGCTGCGCTATGATATGCTATGCTGTGCTATGCTGCGCTATGCTATGCTATGCTATGCTATGATATGCTATGCTATGCTATGCTATGACATGCTGGGCTGTGCTATGCCAAGCTGTGCTATGCTATGCTTAGCTGCGCTATGTTATGCTATGTTATGGCATGTTATAGTATGCTATGTTATGTTATGCTATGCTATGCTATGCGATGCTATGCTGCGCTATGCTATGCTATGAAATGCTATGCTATGCTATGCTTGGCTAAATATGCGATGCTATGCTATGCTCATGCAGCGCTGCGCTATGCTAAGCTAAGCTAAGTTAACCCTCTAGGCAGAGCCTAGGTAGGGAATTACACCCATGCTGTCGTCCGGCCATCGAGGCTAGATCGGCATCTGTCGCACATTGCTTTTGCTTTGCCTTTCCTTTGCTTTGCTTTTGCTTTTGCTTGTGCTTTGCTTTGCGTTGCCTGTGCTTTGCTTTGCTGTCGCTGCTGTTGCTTTGCCTTTGCTTTGCTGCTATGCTATGCGATGCTCTGCCATGCTCTGCTACGCTATGCTGCGCTGTGCTCTGCTGTGCTGTGCTGCGCTATGCTATGCTATGCTATGTTGCGCTATGCTATGCTATGCTGGGCTATGCTATGATATGCTGGGCTGCGCTATGAGATGCTACGCTATGCTATGCTATGCTATGCTCGGCTATGCTAAAGCTCAGCGAAGCTAAGATGAAGGTACGCTAAGCTAAGATAAACCTGAGCTATGATGAAGCTAAGCTGGGCTAAGATGAAATAAGCTAAGCTAATCTGAGATAAGCAACGCCAAGCTAAGGGGACGTAGCTGGGGGAACCGCGGGGCGGATGCCGGGGGAACCGCCCGGGGCGCGTTCCACTGCCCGGCCCCTTTAAGATAGAGAGTAAGAACTCTTCTAGGCAAAGCCTAGGTAGGGAACGAAAAGACAACGGCGTGCTCGCGCCGAAGGACTTGGCCTCGAGCCAACTGTTCGGGACTCTGGACAGACAACGTGGCGCCGAGGCGAGGAGGAGACGGAGGAAAGAGGGCTCTCGTAAGTTGGCGCTCTCGTCAGGCGCTCCCGCTAATCCCTGTTGATGATTTTGAGCCTCCGCGTGAGGAAACAGCCTAGCACGTCGGAGCTTTCGGTGATGTAAACCTCGTTCTCGACGATACGACGAACTCCCTGGTCGGACGCTGTGAGATAATCCGAGATCCTGTACTGGGCCTCCACGGGTACTTCGCGGTCTCGAAAACGTCGGCCGTCGCCCCTCCCTTGCGTGTAGTCCTGGCCGACACAAGGTCTCGAGAGCCTCCGTGGGGTTGCAACTGGTGCGCCGAGATCGGGAGGAACCTATTCCTCCAGGATTGCTTGACGACAATTTCGGTCGGCATCGGCCCGCTGGCGACGCATGGGCTGCAGTCCCCTGCTCTTGAGCGCGAGGGCTTTTCGTATCGCTGCTCCTTGGAGCATCCTGATCCGACGTGCCGTGATTGGATGTTGCACGTCCAACTGAGGCCAAGCAAGACACCACATTCGAACTTCCTCTTTATGCTGGATCCACGACGCTGGTTTCCCATCCCAACTTGGAATGAAACCATATTCTTTGTCGTGCTGGTTTTGGTTCATCAGGCCGGTGATGGTGAAGGTCGGGCTGCCGACCCACAGGCGCACGACCGCAAACACGAGGAACACGAAGAATATGACACCCCGTGCTGCAGGAGGAACTTGCGTTGCGAGAGAGGCCAACAGGCCAATGTCTGGCGCAGCCAGGCTGGAACGGCCCCCGGGCGTGGGAAACAGCTCCGCTACCACTGACGTGGCACAATCAATGTGGCTGATATCTGTCACCACATGAATATAGCTGAATGGTCAAAGCGCCTGCGGCAACATATTTAACAACACATGGGGGAAGAAGCTGCCGACAGTATGCAAAGCGTTCCAAACACATCTGGTATTTTACTTACGCACATTCGTGACCTAGTATACGTTCGTGACCTAGTACACGGCCAACTCGTAGGGGATAAACAGAATTGGTTGGGATTGGTTGGGTGGGGGGCCGGGGCTTATGCTTGGACTTTTTTGTCGCCCGCCATTGCTTTGTATGTGTGTTGTGGGTGGTGGCTCCTTTTCTCCCCGCGTCCGTCCAGCGCCCTCCCCGACGATTGCGGCTTCCAGGCCCGGGATGGAGGGAGGGGGAGGATGAGCTTCATGCGCTCATATTTGGCTTTCCTCGTACCGTGTGCCTTTAACCCTTGACAAGGGTCTTTGGGAGGTCATGGGTGCTGCGCCCTGCTGTTATGAAAGACCTTAGTGGTTCGTTTCTCAATTGGTCCCGTCTTGGGCTTCGGGCTGGAGCTATGAGTGCTTCAACTCCCCGGTTGTCTCCTTACCGAGGAGCTTTCGTGGACTGCCTGACCTGATCTGATCTGACCTCCTCCTCCTCTTCGTCATGATCGTCCTCATCATCCTAAACATCATCATTTCGGATTTCCCAAACCTGGGAACAGGAGACGTCCCGCGTGACTGCCTCCCGTGCCCACTACTGCAATCGCCACAGACCATCCACAAATTGCTTTGACACCGCCGAGACACCATCGTCTGTGTGTTTTTGTCCCATCTTCTCTGTGTGTTTTTTGTGTCTTTTTCCCACAGTGTGTTTTTGTTTGTGTGTGTGTGTGTTTTTACCAACAGTGTGTGTTTTGTGTTTTTTTCCCCACAGTGTGTGTGTGTGTTTTTGTGAGTGTTTTTCCCACAGAACCATCGGGGCATCACCGGGACGCCATACAGAGGGCTTCGGGACACCACCAGACAGCCGCCTGGACACCGCAGGAAGTGCTTCGTCTCTGGCAAGTCGGCCGGCCGCCACTGGAACAACGTAGCGATTCCTCCACGTGGCCGTGGGGAACAAAAACACACAGTGGGGAAACACACACACAGACACACACAGACACACACAGACACACACACAGACACAGACACAGACACAGACACAGACACAGACACAGACAAACACACACACACACAAACACACACAACACACAACACACAACACACACAACACACAACAGACAACACACACACGCACACGCACACGCACACGCACACGCACACGCACACGCACACGCACACGCACACACACACACAGTGGGGAAAACACACACACACACTGGGGGAAAGCACACACACACACACACACGCACGCACACACACACACACACACACTGGGGAAAACACACACACACACACACACACACACACACACACACTGTGGGGAACACACACACACACACACTGTGTGTGTTTTTCCCCACGTGTGTTTTTCCCCACTGTGTGTGTGTGTGTGTGTTTTTTTCCCCACGGGCGCGAGGGATCCCGCGTACCACTCCGCACGCACGGAACTCAACGCACGAAACAGGCAAGAAACTCGAGACTGGACCTCTCGGATTTGGGGATGGCCTCGCCAAAACCCTGTACACCACACACCTCTGATTCATATTCACACGCATATGAAGGCGAGATTGTCCCCCTCGCAAGTGGACGGGCGTCTCCGAAGTGGACAGGCGTCTCCACGGGGCAGGGGTCGGCGGTGACTTGCCCACAAGCGTCCTCGATAATGCGGTGCAGACAACCGCACGGCTGGAGACGCCGCGATACTGGAAGGATGCGCCGACTTTTCGTGAGTCAAGCGAGCGTAATTGCTCACGCAGCAAATCTAGAGACTAGCAAGATAATCACTTCAGCAGGTCCATGCAGGTCCTGAACAGATGAAATTGCCAACACCAATGGCGAATGTGCGGCTTCGATTCCGAGACGCTCGTGCCCCGCCCCGTGTCCCCTGGAGATCCATTCGAACAATCTCCGTCCTGAAGAAGGCTACGACTCGCGTAGCGTCACCTGTGCTCAGCATGATGGAACCCTTCCCACATGCTTCGTCTTTCTCCTTTGTGCAACGCTGTCCCCTTCGTCCCCTCTCTCCCTGCTTCCTTGCATATTCACATGTTCGTCGACGCTCACCTCGGGGGAAGCCATCGGACTGATGCCGAGCTGGCCGCCCAACGCCCCACCTTGAAAGCTGGACGAGCTACCAAAGACTCGCTGTAATTCTGGCTCGTGTGGGCCCAGTGCGGCAACAACAGCGCCATTCATCAGATCAGCGTGCCCAAACTTCAGCTCCACGCCCGACTGGACAACTCCGAGAACCTCCTGGGGGACCGCCCGCGCCGTGCAAGGGCCACTGCGTCGGAGGTTTCGGCCCGCTCCTCGCCTCGAGGCCGTCCCCCTGTTATCAGCCGTTCGGGATCATCTTTGCGGAACCATCTAACCAGCATAATGCGGTGAGGGTGGATTGGGGCTTGCCAGCCCAACCAAAGTAACTTACAGGCGGTCCAAGCGAGGGACCATCGGTTCGTGAAGCAAGAAGACGCTTAAGTCAGACCGGGAGCCTGGACCTGAACAAGGACCGACCGTCCCAGCATTCCTACAGGCATGCCACGAAATGTTCTTAGAACTCAGCAGTATTCAAATAAGCTTACGGTGTCCTTAGAACATGAACCCGATATGTTCAAACAAGACAGTCTCAGCCATACATGTTCTCAGAACATTGCAGGCAAAGCACAAAAGGTTCTTAGGACATCCTCTGGGGGGGACGCTTCGCCACTGAAACACCCTGTGCTTCGCAATGCGTAAGCGCTGGGCTGGGGGGGGTGGGGGCGTCCCTCCAGGCCGACAAACACAAACAGTGCTCCCGTCGCGGGCAAACACGGCGCGCCGAAAGCGCCGCCCCCTGGCTGGGCGCTGTGTGCACCGGCAAAGCTAGGTTAACCCCAGTCGGGGGGGATACCCCCGGCGTTTAAATCGATCGATCCAATGCCACTGGCGGCGTTCATCGGGCGGGTGGTAATGGGAGGTGACCAAAATGGCCCTAAAGGGGCACTTCAGGGCCCCTAAAGGGCCCCTAAAGGGGCCCTACAGGGGCACTTTAGGGGCACTGAAGGGCCCCTATGGGGGGTGAAGAAAAGGGCCCTAAAGGGGCACCTTAGGGCCCCTTTCGGGCCCCTGCTGGCTCCAAAGGGGGCCCTAAAAGTGTCCCTAAAAAGGCCCTACAGGGGCCCTAAAGTGCCCCTGTAGGGCCCTTTTTCTGTCATCCCCAAGTTGAATCACTCTCCATTACCACCCGCCCGAAGTTGACGTAAAATAGCCGCGCCGGAATCGCCGCATCGAGGACACTGCCCCAGGATTCTCATGCCGCGACTCTTTTCGGCTACACGCAAGAGTGACCCTGGGTAAAAGTGACCTTTGGTGCGCGGCTTTTTGTGGGCCGCGGGGGGACCAACCCTGGGCGCGCAAGCCGCTGCTCCTGCTTCGTTTCCAGCCATCTGGGGACCCATCTGTGCCCGCACCAAAGGTCACTCCGGCGAAAGGTCACTCTTACGTCTAGTCGATCTTTCGAGACGGGGCCCCTGGAAATTCTGACCCTTTCCCCAGGGCCGGATTTTGTCCTCCCGGGAGAGGGAGCGATAAGCGGGGGGCACTCGCTCAGGGGGGAAAGCATCCACCTGGAATCGGCGAGGCATCGCCGACAGATCGGGGATGGGCCCTCGAGAGCGAATCCGCATGTTCCTGGGCGGGGTGGGCTCTTAGGCGCCTGTCGGCGATGAGTGGCCGATCGGGGGCCGGTTCGTCTCCCCTTGTGCCCCTCTGCCCCACCTAGCGTTGCCCCTGCTGTTTCCTGGCGGCGAGCGAGGGGAGGAAGTGAGGAGAAAGCCTTCTCAGAAGGCGGCGGGGCCTTTCTCAGAAGCCCTCGCGCCTTCTGAGAAGTCGTGTCTGTCTTCGGGCAAGGCTCAGAAAACTCAGAAAGCCCGGGGACTTCCGAGCCTTCCGAAAAGGCCCGCCCTCTCCCACTTCCCCCCTTTGCTCGCCGCCGAACTTCAGCGCTGACGGATTCAGGCACTGGCGTGGGCCCCATGTGGCCACAGAAGATGGCGCCCCCCCCCCCCCCGCATCTGTTTCCAACGCGTCGGACATGTGTGAAGGGGCCCACAACACACACACAAATAAATACACACGAGTAAAAAGGATTCCCCATATTTTCCCATGTTTTCTGAGGGGGAGGGGTCTTCCCCCCCACTTCCCACAGTTTCCCATCTCTTCTGGTGAATCGGCGATTCATGGTGTCTGTGTGGTTTTTTTCCCTCCTGAAAAGAAGATGGCGCCCCCCCCCCCCCCCCCTCCGTACCTGCTTCCAGCAGCCTGCCAGGCACGCGCGGGATAGGGCATCCGTGCCCCTCCTTAAAATAATATGGCGCCCCCCCCCCCCCCCCCTCCGTACCTGCTTCCAGCGCGTCGGGCGTGCGGGGCGCGAGCCTGCCGCGCGCTTTCCAGGCACGCGCCTTCACAGGGATAGGGCATCCGTGCGCACACAGGGCGGCAGAAGGTCGCAGGGCGGGAGAGGTGGACTGTGTTCACAGGGGGCTCCCCCAAAAACAACAACAACAACACACATTGCAAGATCTTGCAAATTGCAACGAACACTGCAAGACGCATATTGCACAAAAGTAGATTGTGTGCATGAGGGGGCCACATGCGAACCCTACCCCTACCCCACACGATTTCTGAGGGGGCGGGTGGGGTTCACTTCGCTCGGGCCTACCCCCCACGATTTCTGAGGGGGAGGGTGGGGTTCATTTCGCTCGGGAGCTCCCGAGCGAAGTGAACCCCACCCTCCCCCTCAGAAATCGTGGTGGGTAGGGTTCGCATGTGGCCCCTAGTTCAGGGGGCTCCCCCCAAAACAACAACAACAACAAGCATTGCAAGACGTATCTTGCAAATTGCAACGAACATTGCAAGACGCATATTGCACAAAAGCCAACGAACATTACAACAGGTAGATTAGGTAGGTTGCACGTCTCCTGGACCTTCGCGGCGGGCAACAGCCCTGGGTCGCTCGGCCCCTCGGCTGGCCCCGTTCCCTGGCTGATTTTTTGGCTGTTCTGGCTTGCTTTCGTCTGTCCGTCGGTCGCACTGGCCGCGCATGCCCCTCGGCTGGCCCTCGGTCGCTTGGGGCTCTCGGCTGGCCCCATTCCCTGGCTGGTTCTGGCTTGTCTTTGCTGACTGTCGCTTGTGCGTCGGCCGCGCTGATCGCCCCAAGCTCGTCTGCCGCCCTTCGGTCGCTCGGCCCCTCGGCGGGCCCCATGCCCTGGCTGATTTTGATTGTGTTTGTATGGTTTCACCTGTCCGTCGGCCGCGCTGGTCGCTCCAAGCTCGTCTGCCGCCCTTCGGTCGCTCGGCCCCGCGGTGGGCCCCATTTCCCGGCTGGTGTTGTATTGCTGTTTGTATGTTTTCGCCTGTCCGTCGGCTGCACTTGTCGCCCCAAGCTCGCCCGCCGCCCTTTGGTCGCTCGGGTTCCCGGCTGGGCCCATTCCCTGGTTTGCGTTGTTTGTGTTTGTTTGTTTTCGCTTGTCCGTCGGCTGCCCTGGTCGCCCCAGGTTCGCTCCACTCCCTGGCTGATCGTGTTTGTTCTTGTTGGTCTTCGCGTGTCCGTCGGCTGCACTGGTCGCCCGAAGCTCGCCCGCCGCCCTTCGGTCGCTCGGCTCCTCGGCTGGCCCCAATTCCCTGGCTGGTTGTGTTTGGTTTTGCTTATATGCGCTTGCTCGTCTGCTGCACTGGTCGCCCCAGGCTCGTTCCATTCCCAGGCTGACGTTGTTTGTTGTTGTCGATTTTCGCCTGTCCGTCAGCTGCGCTGGTAGCCCCAGGCTCGCCCGCCGCCCTTCGGTCGCTCGGCTCCTCGGCGGGCCTCAGTCCCTGGCTGGTTGCGTTTGTTAATGCTTATGTTCGCTTGTCCGTCGGCTGCACTGGTCGCCCCAGGCTCGCTACATTCCTTGGCTGGTTTTGTTTGGTTGTTTGGTTGTTTGTTTGTTTGTTTGTTTGTTTGTTGGTTTGTTTATGTATGTTCGCTTGTCCGTCGGCTGCGCTGGTCGCCCCTCGGCTGGCCCCATTTCCTGGCTTGTTTTGTTGTTTGTTTTTTGCTTTCACCTGTCCGTCGGCTGCACTGGTCGCCCCAAGCTCGCCCGTCGACTTCGGTCGCTCGGCCCTTCGGCTGGCACCATTCCCTGGCGGGTTTTGTTTGTTTTTGTTTGTTTTCACTTGTCTGGGCAAGCGAAAACACACGAAAACAAACAAACACCAAAACAAGACCAGCCAGGGAACGGAGCCAGCCGAGGGCCGAGCGACCGAAGGGCGGCGAGCGAGCCTGGGGCGACCAGTGCAGCCGACGGACAAGCGAAAATAAACAAAAACAAACAAAACAAGCCAGGGAATGGGGGCCAGCCGAGGGGCCGAGCGACCGAAGGGCGGCAGGCGAGCCTGGGGCAACCGACGGCAAAGTGAAAACAAGCCAAGAGAATTGAAATCAACCAGCCGAACCAAAACAACCAGCGGACAAACGAACACCACCATGAACAACCAACGTCAATCAGGGAAGTGGCCAGGCCCCCCAAAAAACATCTAAAAACATAAATTCTTGAAGCAGGAAGGCACTTAACATAGATTGGGATCTCGGAATCCAGAGAGACCTACTTTCAAGGACCGGCGGGTACAGTCAAAATCTGTAATAAGGACGCGCTGTAAAGGACGCCGGACCCTTGGGTGGTCCTTGGACGCCCTGGTTGAAGCTTTTTGGCCGAACAAATCTCAGGACGAAAGGGGTGCCCTTGGTAGAGCCCTCCTAGATGGGGTCCGAGTAGATGAGGTCGGAGGATCGCGCCGCATCGCCGATACATCGGCGATGCATCGGCGATGCATCGGTGATGCACCGGCGATGCATCGTCGACGTCGGTGATACATCGGCGACGTCGACATGAAGCATATCGGGCCCACATCGAGCCGGGTCGGCGATGCATCGGCGATGCGGCGCGATCCTCCGACCCCATCTACTCCGACCCCATCTGGGGGGCATACCCGTCCTCACTGTGGATGTTCCCTGTATCTGGCGCGCGTGGGCGCCAGGTGCACGGATCGGGGAAGGCCCCCCGCCCCCCCCCGAAACACGGGGCCATCGCAGCTTCGCTGGGCGACGGGGCGTGCAGATGCCGCACGTACGCGGGGCCCGTCGCTGGTCCGCGCGCCTCGATCCCTGCCTCCTCCTCCCCCTCCTCCTCCTCCCCCCTCCCTCCCCTCCTCCTCCTCCTCCTCCTCCTCCTCCTCCTCCTCCTCCTCCCCCTCCTGCTCCTCCTCCTCCTCCTCCTCCTCCTCCTCCTCCTCCTCCTCCTCCTCCTCCTTCGACATGATCAGACGGGACGGGAAGCAAACAAATGCGCGTGGAACGCGTTGTGGTCGCGCGGCCGCTCGCCTCTTGGGGCGCGCGCGCCGCGCTGGGGAACTGCCGGGTAAGGGGGGGGGGCGCGAGGGGACAAGAGGAGGAGAAGGAGGAGGAGGAGTAGGAGGAGGAGGAGCGGGAGCAGGAGGTGGAGGAAAAGAGGGGTAGGGGACTTTGGTCTCGTTTGCCTTCCCAGACATCCCCGCGTCGTGGAAAAACAGGCCGCGTCATGGAACAGTCCCATAACGCGATGTCTTGACGCTTGGCCGGCGCCCCTTCCTCGGACTTTCAACGCCCAGCCCGTGCCCCGCACGCCCCTGGCCCTGCCCCCCCCGATCGGATCCTTGGCGGCGCGGGCCATGCTCTGCTGCGCCTTCGGCGCCAAGCCTGCGCGTGTTGGCGGTGCGCACGAGGGAGTGGAGGGAAGGGGGAGGGCATCTCAGACAGGCGCTGCTTCTCAGCAGGCGCGGGCCGTACATCCTTAGATAAGGCCCGCGCCTTCTGCGAGAAGCAGGGGTGCTTCTAAGGTGCCCTCCCCCATCCCCTTGCTCCCCTCCGCGCGTGGCCGGGCGTGGTGGTGGTGGTGGGGGAGGAGGGCAGGCAGAGCCCCAGAGGTTGGCGTCGGGGGCAATGGGCTCTGTCGTTATCGGTTGTGGCCGTGCTTCCGGGCGGAGAGCAGGTGGACAAGAGGGAGGTGCAGGAAGAGGTGAGGATGGGGGGCGAACAGGAAGAACTATAATAACGAGGAACAGGAGGACGACACGCAGGAACGGTGTTGATCATGATGGTGATGCTGCAAATGATGATGATGATGATGATGATGATGATGATGATGATGATGATGATGATGATGATGATGATGATGATGATGATGATGATGCTGATGATGATGATGATGATGGTGAGGAAGAGGAGGAGGAGATGAAGGAGGAGGAGGAGGAGGATCAGGAGGAGGAGGAGGAGGGGGAGGAGGACCAGGAGGAGGAGGAGGAAAGGAGGAGGATGAGGAGGAGGAGGAAGAGGTGAAGGATGAGGGGGGGAAGACAGACAGACAGACATGCTCGTGGGTTCCCTCGTCAGCTTGGCATCGAACAGATTCAGAATTTTGTAAAGTTCATATCCTGAGGGGCGAAAGTGTTTCAGGCGCCAGTTACAAGCGTGGAGAGCCGTGCGCGCGTCGCGGGGGTGGCCCTCGACTCGGGGCCACCCCCTCCGCCTAGCCTCCCGTGCGACGGAACCCGAAGGCCAGGGCCGTCTTACGAGCAGCCGAGCGGAGGGGGTGCCCACAGACAAGAACCACATCCTGACGCACCGCCCCATGAAGAGGCAGGCCCCTCACTCCGGGAATTTGGTTCTGCGGAGAGCCTCCGAGGGGGCTGGGGGATCTGCCGCGGGAGCCCCGTTCGCGCCCGCGCGGCGCCAGCCGGGGGGGAGCATTCGTCGCAACCGATGTCGGGCGAGGGGGTCTTGGCGGGAGATGGCCAGCAGCTTGTGAAGCCTTGAAACCACTCGCTCTGAGACACACCGGACCTCGCCGATCTCGACAAACATATTTCCTGAACTGCGTGGGTGACCTCATCCTCGACCGGCCTCTCACTGCGAACGTAGTCTGACCATGGCCGCGATAGCTCACATCTCGTTGCTCATCTTCGAAAGCAGCCGATGGAGCGGGCCTGGCGGAGCTGGGCCCGCCTTGTGCACTGCCATCGTGTCCTTCATCGCTTCGGAGGGCCTCCAGCTTCTGTCCATGCATGTGGAAGGGCTCCACCGCGTTCATGATCAGGCCCTTGTCCGTCTCCGTCTGCGTCTGCTGCTGCTTGCCCTGGCCCTCGCCTTTGTCGGGCTTCCCCTCGTGCGCCCCCCGACGAAGGCGCGGCGCCAGAGCTGCCAGCTGCTGGGGGGGTGGCCCATGATCATGTCTTTCCACGTGCTCGCGAAGCCACGCGTAAACTCCTCGTTGCCAAGGCTGCATTCGGCGCTCCGCCACTTCGCCGACGCCGCGAAGATCGCCTCGCGCGGGGGGCCTCTGCTCTCGAAGTCCACCTGCTCGCCTGCCTGCACCTTTTCGCGCGGCGCCTTTGACTGCGCGTCGCGCGCCTTGCCCGTTGCCTCCTGCGACTCTGGCAAGCCGCCCGTGTTGACCTGGTACTTATTGTGCGCGACTCGGGGGGGTCCGCCAACGCGAGGCGCCCCGTCGTCTTCGCCGTCTCGCGGAGGTTTCGGTAGGACCCGCCTCCCTCGCCTTCGCCGCGGCCCTTCGCGCGCGGCGGCGGCTCCGCGCTCTTCGCCGAGTCCGCCGGTGTCGCCAGCCAAGCCGGCTGCCCCTGCAGGGCCACGTTGCCGCTGCCGCCGCCGCGCTTGCTGTGGGAAGGGGCCGGCGAGGTAGCGCCGGTCGTGGTGGATGCCGAACCAGATGGCTACTGAGGCGGTTCAAGTCAGCGCGCTCTACCACGCGCAGTCGACGCGCAAAGATTTCGGAGGGCATTGGTCCGTGGAGCTTTCGAGCGCCGCAAAGGAACAGTGCCCCCGAATCAGAAAACGAGCGCGGCGACGACCAGCAGCCGCCCTTGCGCTCAGCACCGCGTGACAGACCACGCACCGGCTTGTGGGCGATAACGCGTGGCCGGCATTTCGGGCGCGATGTTCTGCTCGAAGATAGTTAAGAAGGTCACGTTTCACACGACATGCTGAATCGCGCCCCCCACCATCCTTCGCCACCCATTCGCGCTTTCATGCGAGATGGATCAGAGAGGGCAGGAACTTCCCGAGGAGGCCGTTGCCCAGGAGGGGCCGAGGGGGGCATTTAGACACGAACCTGGGCCGATCGAGTACCTGCGAAATCTATCGCGATGAAGTCGGGCGCCATCTCGGGGCCCGCGGACCTACAGGGGCACTCCGAGAGCACTTCCACGACGAGGGCCTCTCCCCTCGAACCCCGCAGGCCTCTTCGAAACTCTGCTGAATGCGACGGGCCGGCGGAGACGCGATCCTGTAGCGCGGGTCGATATCTATCGAGCTCCAGAGCTGGCAAAGAGCCGAACAGTGCGCGCAGGAGCTGCTGATGGCTGCCCGGGAAACGCGAAATCTGTTGATGCCAGCGCATGTGCCGCACAAGTTACTATGAGGCGCTTGGGGCCAACTTCCAATAATGTAGCGCTCGACCGTTCGACCACGCAATCGCGCGCTCCCCCTCGCGCGCGCGGGGTGCCTCGGCCTTGCGGCGGCGCGCGAGGCAGACGGTGCAAGTGAGAGTCCGGCCCCTTGCACTGTTGGGGGGTCGACATCATCGCCTCCAGGCCACTCATCGGAGCATTCTGGACAAGACCTTTTAGGATAACCTGGGCCCACTTCCGAGGGTGCCCGAGAGCCCAGAACCCGCCCGTGGAGTAGAAACCCGACAACGCCCGATCAACTTAAGGACCCGCGATGCCAGACAGGACATACGAGGCCCCAAATAACGCGCGCAGTCCTGCACTTCACCTCCAAGAGGTGGGGCTGCGCGATGGCGAAGCCACCCCTTTTTCTTTACTTTAGTGCTGCCCTCCCACGAGACGTGAGACGCAGTGACCCGCGTGTCCCTGTTGGCTCCAAGTCCCGCCTCTTCCAGCTCGTCCTCTAACGACTGGTCGCGCTCTCATCCACCTCAGAAGCTTCGAGATCCTCTGACATCGAAACGCCTCCGTGCATTTTCTGATGCCATCCGCAAATTTATGGAGGCCGAGGTTCGCGCGCGTCTCCTTCCATTCAGCTCTACGATGATCCTCTCGATACTTCCAATAAAAGATAATCCTGCTGAAGGTGCCCTGGAGCAGTGTAACAACACATGGGCCCCCCACGGTGCTTCCCTCGCCTGATTGAAGCCGCGAGGCCCCCTCTCCCAGAGGTAGGAAGACAGCTGCGTGACACCCGAGATCTTTGCCTGGCCAGCGGCGCGTCCAAATCATGAGCAACGAGTGAGTCCACCGACGCGAGGGCGTTGCTCATGTCCTTCAGGCTCGCTGGGAACGCATGGCAATAATGCCGTAACCTCCACGCCGCCACTAGAGCTGCAATGGTCGCTCCCTCACGGCGACGATGCTTGAAGAAGCCGTAGTTGCTCGCGTCGGGATGCGCGCTCAAGATGTCGGTGTCGAAGCACAGGCCCAGCGGGTCGAGGGCGTGAACCACTCGTTTGCCTTTCAACCCTGGAGCCCCCGAGCTTGTGAAGTCCCGCCGCCGAACTGTCGCGCCAGTGACTGGGGGTCCTCGTCGGAGGTCGGATCGCCCGAAAGCCCCCCAACATCGCCCCCGAGAAACTAGACATGTCAGAGCCCCCTGCGTCCGCGCCCACCCCCCAACGACCGCGCGCGAGTCGCTTGTCGGGATGAACGCAGAACTGCCGCAGCACGACGGAAGGAGAGCTCTCTGGCACAGCGCGTCGCCGTCCCGCCTTCTGCGCCACCCGCGACGCCCGCTTGATGTCGCGGCGAGCGCGGTCCTCCATCTCAATGCTCAGGTCGGGCAGCGGCGCCCCCGACAGCGCCGGCGCGGGCGGGTCGACCTCCGTCGTCGACCCGCATGCCTACCCACCTTCTTGTTGCCGTGCTGCTAGCCATTATTCTCGGGCGGGCTGGGCTGCGCGAGTGGCGCGACCGTCGCGCTTTGTTGGCCCGACACTGAATCGACCTGCTTCGCGAAAGCGTCGCATCGCCAGCGCTGGCTTCCGAGCTCGCCAAGCCGCCTCGACCTCCTCCTCCATGCATATTTTGCGTTGCTGCTCGTTCCTGCCGTCGTTGCTGGTGCAGCCGCTGAAAGAAAGAAAAAAACATCCTTTCGTGCCACCTCGAGCCCCTGCCCGTGGGACCCTCGTCCGCGCGCATTGCAGCCACGTCCAACGTCGCCTCGAGAAACTCGTGGGGAAAGCCCCCAGACCTGCGCGCTGCGGGGCCCGCCTCAGCGCGCGCGACAGAGACGTCCTCCGTCGCCCCGAGGGGCTCGCGGGAAGGCCAGTAGCCCCGTGCGCCGCGGGATCCACGTCAGCGCGCGCAACAGGAAAATCCCCCGTCGCCTCGAAGGACTCGCATGGAAGGCCCCCTGGTCCTGTGCGCTGCGGGGCCCGCATCAGCGCGCGTCGCAGAGACGCTTGCCGGAGTCGTCGTCGTCGGGCCCGTCGATCCACCCGTGATCATCATGGTCGGCCTCGCCACTGATGGGCTCGCCGAGCCCCGTGCCCGTGTCTCCGCTGCTCACTCTCCTAGCGAAGCACGGAGTTCAGCGCGCTGATGGATGAATCCGTGGCGCAGTGCAGCGTCGCCCTGATGCTGCGCAGCATGTCCAGGTCTGAACATTGCCTGGGCGACTTCCACTGGCACCCTGTTCAAACAATCGAAGGACTTGTCTGGATCCCCATCGGCGCAACATCTCCGTCCACGTTAGATCCTCCTCGCGAAGTCTAGCCTCCGCCAACGTCAGGAAACCCCGATTCAAGTCGCCCTCTCCTCGAATAACATTCATAATGTTGCTCCAATTTCGCTCCGAGCGCGGGGCCCCCTGAATCTGCGCCGAGAACTTCGAAGCGTCAGAGTGCAACCTGATTGGCGCGTGACCCTGAGGTGGAGAGCCCCTGGACGCCCGCAGCTGCGCGCCCAGTCCACGCAGCGCGCGGCGGTGCGCTATCGCGCCGGCCATGCGCAGCGTGAGGAGCATGACATCGATCGTGGAGCTGCCGCCCTTGGCCCCGAAGTGCGCTGGGCAGACGCCAGCTCGAGATTTCGCCGCCAGCTGATGCTACTTGGCCGCGCTCGTCCGCAACGCCCCCCCGCCCCCGAAGCGACGAGCTTCCCCGGCTGCCGCCGCGCCGCCGCTGCCTCGGCTTCCACCCGCTGCCATTTCAGCGACTTGCGACTGAGGCCAGTGCCGCCGTTCACGTCCGCGCGCGCTATCCGGCAGCAGCGGGCGGGAAGGCAGCCCAGAACTTCGCCAAGCCACCTGCCTAGGATGCGCACCGTCTCCAGGTGCAGCGGCGCCTACGTGGCCCACCTCGGCTGAGGAAAGGAGTGCGCTACCACCAGGCAGTAGTCCTGGCAATCACGCTTCGCTCGAACTGCCAGCGATCGGCCCCCCGCCCCCTTCGGACTAGCCCACGCTCGCGCGATATCTCTGAGACGGCAGGCCCGATTCAGATCCGCCGAGCAGCCCGTGCGACTGGTAGTATAGTGTACTGGACTATATTCACTTTCGATAATCCACTGTCTCTGGATTCAGCGCCGGAGAGGCCCCGCTGCATTTCGGTCGCAAGCCCGCGCCCTCCCAAGCAAGACAAAATCTAACGACTTCCAGCCCCGAAAAATATCCTCAAGCCTGTCTTTCGCGGGCACTTCGAAGGCCCCGGCCGAGCGCCTTCGCGTCTCCCAGCAACGGCGCGCGAACGCGCGGAGGCGGAGTGCGAGGAAGCGCCGGCAGCGGTTGCCGTGAAAAAAAACCCGGCCTGCTGCCAATTGAAATTGCTCGAGCAAGCGCGGCAGCTGGAGGGCGAGGAGGGGTGCAAGAGGGGGCGCCAAGACGGGGGGCGGGAGAGGATGAGGTCGAGCGCAGCTGGGGGCGACGAGCTCTCCACTGCCTCGCTCGCCCGCCCGCCCCCGCGCCCGGATCGCGCTGTCGCGGGGCGCCCCAGGGTCGAGGAGGGCCCTCTGCCTCCCCCGGGTGGGGGGGCGTGCGCAGACGGACTGCCTCGACCGGCGCCGGAGCATCCCTGACGTCTTTGCCGACAGACCGATGAGATGCCAATGGGGAAACGTGATCCAAATATTTAAAGAAGCCGGGTTAGCCACAGGGCTCAAGGCGAAGCCTGCGCGCGCCAGGCATCGGGGGCCGAAAAGCAAGGAACGCTGCCCATTGGGCCGAAGTCATGGCCCGCAGAGTCACGGCTATCATCGCAACCACGCGCGCTGCGCCTCACGCTGCGCGGCAAGTTTGCGGGCCACGAGCCGAAACAAGTTTTGAACAACATGTGGCGCCGAGCTGCGTGGAGGGGCGCCCGCGCCTCTCGAAGCCGCGCCCATGCACCCTCCGTTTTGGGAGGAAGAGGGTCTCCCGACCAGCTCGAGAGCCTTCGCGCCGGGGCCCGAGAGATGAAGTCGTTCGCAACTTGTTCGCGGATCGTGGATGCGAGAACTCTCTGCCGCGTGGGCCTGCGCCCCAGAGATCCCTGACCGACGGGCCGAAAAGCCTCCCGCCCCCCGTCGCCATCGGCGACCCCTTCCCGCTCCTCTTAGGACCAAGGGTCTAAGGGCAGCCAGCGGCAGCGTGCGACATCAGGGCAGCTAGCGGGCCCATTTGCCAGTGCGGCGGGGTGAAACGGAGGGGCGCCTGGTTCAGCGTCGCAAGTGGACCTCTCTCAGCAGCCGCCCGCCGCAGACGCTTTACCAGCGGTGGCCAGGCTCTCTGGAGGGAGGCGAGCTCGCAGCGCATTCTAGCTGCTGCGCGCTTGGCGACCGGGGGCGAGATTGTTGGTCCGCCAGCGGACTCCAAGCTGAGCCAGTCTGAGAGTCGTGGGGCCGATGCCGCGCGCCTCCAGTAGCGGGCAAATCAGACGCTCCCTGAGCAGCCTGGGGGCAGGGGGGGGGCCTGGGCAAGGTGAGGGTCGCGCGAAGACGCCCGGTTGGGATGCGATCTCAGGGCGGCGTCGGCGCCGGCCCCTGTCTTGGCGGACTCTCGCACGCAAGAAGACCGCCTGGGCCACGGCGCGCCTCGATCGACCGAGAGGGAGGCCCCGGGGCCCAGGACAAAACCAAAGTAGAGAAGCGAATCGGCAATTGCAGATTTTACCCACGCATCGCATTCGGCATTTAGCTGCGCTTTGTCCCTGCCAGGCCGCGGCGCTAAGGGCTTCCCCAGGGATGCCGCTTTGCACTGCCTAGATTTGACATGTAGACGGGCCAGGGACTCAGCAAAACCAGAGACGCAAGCCATTTCTCAACCCTTTGGCCTCCAGAATCGCGCTGCGCGCGTCGTCGGCGCGGCGGCGCGCGGCGTCGCGGGGCCTGGGCTGCGCAGGCCGAGCCATGTCAGCGCAGAACGCGTTCAACGCTATCGCGTGCATCGATCCCGAAAAGCCAGGCATGACCCAGCACAGGAGGTCCCAAGGGCCAGGCGAGGCCATGTAGCAGGGGCGATGGAGGTAGAGCATCTGCACGCTGGTCTGGAATCCCTCGGGCACCTTCGCGAAGCGGACGTCGAGGGGGGCCCGCTTCTAAGAGACAGAGGGGGGGCCTGGGAGGAGTCGAAGGCGAACAGGAAAGGCTCGAACGGATCCGACCCCGAATGCCCCCCCCCCCCCCCCCCCGGAGTAGGAATGCGGGCGCGCGCGTCCAGGTCAAGGACGCTCGCTCGGAGTTGACGCCCCTAGGTGGAGCCCCGCTGGATAGAGACTCCGAACTCGCCGATCCAGGAGAGAACGCCGACGTTCAGATGCGCCAGCTTGCAATTTGGTTGGGCGCGCTCTTGAGACCAATGGGGCGGGCACCCCTTCCGCGTCGAATGGCGCGGGCCCCAGGGAGTTCCTCGTCGGTGGACAGGTCGCGTCTGTCGGTGCGATTGCGCCAATCGAGGCCCCGTGCCTGGCCAGAACAATCCCTCCAGAGCATGGGTAGCAGAGCATCTTCGTGAGAGCAAAAGATCCGCCGCCTGCGGACTGCGCGGGGTGGGGGAGCTCATCGGAGCCTGGGGAAGCTCCCACCACTCTGGCCAGGAACGAAAAGAGACGGCGCAAGCTTGGAAAAAGGGTGGGGCGGGTGAAGTCGGCCATTTGCCTGCAGCGGGGCGCGTGCTTTTCGCCCTGCGGGTGGCGCGGTGGGTCGCGCTGGACGGCGGAGTCCCAGTGCGCGCCCAGGGATAAGTTCCGCTCCTGCGCCGCCTGGCTGAATGTCGGGCCCGCGTCGCCCTGGGGGCCCAGAAGAACCGTGCCAGCGGGGCAGCGGCGACGACCGGAGGGCGACCAAAGCCTCTCGCGGCGGCGGGCAGAACGCCGCGGTGCAACGCGCCGCCGGACACCTGCAGGGCGCTCTGCCGCCGTCTGACCGCGTTGAAGGGTAATGAGCTTCGCGCTCTTGAGCCTCCTGGCGTTGAGGACCAGAATGAAGGTCGCGACGTTGCGCGGCATCTAACTTCGAGATCTGCGCGCCCGTCGCGCGAAGATACTAGGGCACCCAGGAATGACGCGCCAGCGGAGATTGAACAGGCTGGGCATACTTTCGCCGAAGGGCAAACTGGCAAAACTACGCGCAATCATGGACATCTGCCGTTTGCATCGAGGACGCCGCTGAAGTTGATGGCTGCGAACGAGGCACCCCGCCACTCGCCGACAGCAGGTGGCGAGCCACAACTTCTCAACCGGCGCCCGAATCGCATTTCTTCGGCACGGTTGCTCATGTTCGGTGACGGCGTGCTCGAACAGAAAGCTCAAGCATATGGCCTTCGAGATCGGGGGGTCTCTCTCTGCGTGGGCTTGCTGTCGGCCGCGGTGATCGCGACCAGGACATGGGCGCTGATTCTGCTCAGAAAGAACTCAGCAGGCTCCTCGCAGGTGGTCTTGGACTGGTTGACGTGGGTCAAGACGCCACGGTGGGGACGCAACGAATACTCGATCAACTCTATTCGCAGTCTGGGTGTCTCGGTGAAAATTCGTAGGTCGGTCGATAATCATCAATTTTCGCAATGCCTTTCCAGATCTGGTGCCAGATCGCATCGCCAGGGCTGCCCGCGCGCGCGGTGCGCAGCCTGACTGGAACCAGCAGCGGGCGGATCAGCTTCAGGGACTGAGGCGCCAGCGGCGCCAGGCGGAACTGCAGCGGGAAAGCCGGGGTCGCTGGCAGCAGCCGCGCGGTCTGCCCTCGACGCCGTCGCCGTTGGCGTCGCAGACAGGGCCCGGGGGGCGGGAGTAATTGCCGGCAACCATCCAGCGGCCGCTGTGGAAGACCGCGCCCGACCCCTTCCCCTGCGAGTGGGGAAATGGGGGGGGGGGGGGGGCGCTGCCTGCCAGTTCTGCCAGGGCCCTGCCAGTTCGGGGTGCCGATTCGAAGGTCCTCGCCCCACCTGATCGTTGGACTGGCGGGAAAGAGAAAGAGCCAGGACAGCTGCGGGGCGGTCGGCGTTCGCGTCGGAGATGTCGAAGTCGCCAAAAAGCATCAGGGACTGCCGCGGCGGCCCGCGGTGAACCTTGGTCTGTTGCTCGCGGGCCAAGCTCTGGCGATGTCGAAGTTCAGCCAGAAGAATTTCATGGCGGTGCGCGTTCAAGTGAACGAGGGTGAAGCCAGTCTCGCGACGGCGGGCAAGCCTGCGCCGGGACGCGGCCAGGCGCCTCTCCCACGCGACGAACGTCAAGCACGGGCGCGAAGTGGGCGGGGAAACGAACCCGAGGCGCCACCGCCAGCGCCGGCGCCGGGAAGATCCGCCGAACATAATGGCTAATAATTGTGTCAATAGCGCTGCAAAGCCTAGGCGACGGCTGCTGAGTTGCCTCGAACCTCCTGATGAGCGATGATGGCGGAACTTCAATTCAGGGAACTGCGGGCCTCCAGCTTCTTGGCGACGCCAGTCGAGGCGCGGCGGAGCAGGGGGGGCGGTCCCAGGGGGCGAACCACGCCTCGGTACTCCCCGTGAAACTCCCCGCGCACGTGCTACATAACCCGCGTCGCCGCACGGCGGCGGAAGGGGTCCTTGACGAGGGAATCGTGGTAGGGCTTGGCCAGCTGCGCGTCGGCGAACCCGGCGTTGCCCTTGCAGATCCAAGGGGGCTCGTTAGGGTCAACTTCGATGGCGACCAACAGTTCCCACTGGTGGCTGGCGATACCGGCGTTCCTATTGCCGAATACTCCTTTGCCGAGATGCTTAGATAATGCTTCCGATCCACGCCTGGCAATAAGTTCGCGAACTTGGGCGCGCCGGCTCTCGTCGAGGCCAGCGAACTGCTGGGCCGAGCGACCGATGGGGGGGCCCGCGGAGAAGCGTCGCCACGTGCTACGGTCATCTCGAGGAGCGGCGAAGGCCTATCCGGCGCGACTGTCGAGGGTAGCGCCCGCATCACCGTTGAACCGAAGCGCAAAACGACGGGCGAGACCATCGCCTCCCAAGTCGCACTGATCACCCATAGCATAGCCAGCAACACGACGCCGAGGTGAGATCGCGTCACGCACCAGGGGGGGAATATCCGCCCGTGCGGAGCCGCCGCAGGCTGGCGTGCACGCAGCTGCCGTCGGTGCAAGTGAGGCCCCCGTCCAAGGCCAAGTCGTCGATCCGCCCCACGCTCGGAGCGCAGGCGCGCACGCCCTCTAGCTCCCGCGCGGCGCTGCAGGCTCACATCCGGATCGGGCAGCGGCTATTGTGGTGTGGGGAAATCGCTCCTTCAAGCAGGATTGTTTGCGTGTTGGGAGGAGGGGGGTGGCATTTTTCCGCGGAGACAAGCATACCGCCACACAGCTGCAAGCTGCACACAAGCCTCATCAGCGAGATGAGCAGGCCAGCTCTCTCGCCCATCAACCCGCGTTGCGAACACAATCGCGCTGAAACCAAAACTGTGAGACAAACTCGGTACGAGGAGATCGGAGGATGGGGGGAGGAACAACGTCTTGTGCCCGTTCGCGAAATTCAGCGCACGTATCCCGCCCATGCGAGCAGAACGGGCTGGCCGCCGCACTCGCCGCCCATCGCGCGCAGGCCCGCCGCCTTGCTCGCAGCCAGCACGAGGCTTTCTTGTACCCCTCAGGTCGTCGGCTCAGGGCCGCGTAGCACAGAGGGGCAGAAGAAACACGACGATGGGCAGAGGAGAACGAGGAGGGGAGGGGGAGGGAGAAGGAAGCGGATGAGGAGAATGAGAAGATGAGAAGGATGACAAGGAGGGGCTCGAGGTGATGATGATGATGACGATGATGATGATGATGATGAGGGTGAGGATGATTATGATGATGTTGTTGATGGTGATGATGACGATGATGATGCTGATGATGATGATGAGGATGATGATGCTGGTAATGATGAAGATGATGCTGATGATGATGCTGATGATGATGCTGATGGTGATGGTGGTGATGGTGACGATGCAAGTGGCGGTGAAACTGCTGATGATGCTGATGATGCTGATGATGCTGATGATGGTGATGCTGATGCTGCTGCTGAATACGATAATGGTGGTGGTGATGGTGATGCTGATGCTGATTGTGATGATGATGCTGATGAGGATGTTGATGACGGTGGTGGTGGTGGTGGTGATGATGATGATGCTGATGCTGATAATAATAATGATGCTGCTGATAATGATGATGATGCTGATGATGATGTTGATGATGATGATGATGATGACGATAAGCGAGGCGGATGAGGGTGAAGAGGAGGAGGGGGAGAAGGTGGAAGAAGAGGAAAGACAACTTTGATGATGAGGGAGGGAAAGGAAGATGAGGAGGGAGGAACATGACCGATGAGTGAGGAGGACGAGGGAGGGTCTGAAGGAGGAGAAGGAGGACGAGATGGGGGAGGAGAAGGAATGATCATCGAGGATGCAGGTTTTGCAAGTTTTCGGACAACTTGGGCCTCCCTGGATACATAATTGGAGAAGAACCAGAATGAGGTGGGGGACGGAAAATAAGGGAGATGTGCCGAGGATCGAGATGTTGAAACGTCTTCGGCCTTTTATGGGCCCCTGAAGGTCTCTAGAGGCCCTTGCAGGAGGAGCAAGCAGGAGGTGGAAATGGCTTGCAGACGTGGAGCTGAGGACGAGGAGGGAGGAGGGGTGGCTCCTCCTCCTCCTCCTCCTCCTGCTTCCTCCTCCTCCTCCTCCGCCTCCTCCTCCTCCGTTCTCTCCACTCTCTCACTCTCTGGCTCTCTCTCTCTCTCTCACTCTGTAACGCGCTCTCTCTCTCTCTCTCGCTCTTTCTCTCCCTCCTCCTCCTGCTCCTCCTGCTGCCTTCCTCCTCCGCCCTCCTCCCCCTTGCTCCTCCATCCCTCATCCTGCTCTTCGCGATTGTTCCTCTCGCGGCGGTCGCTGACGGCCCGCGCGGGCGAGCCCCTCAGCGCCACCGTCTTGCCCAGGAGCCCTCTGGAGTGGCCGGACCGCCGGCGCCGTGGTTGGCGTCTTTTTCCTCGATCTCGGCCTCCAGGGGCCGTCCTTGGGCCAGGGGGCCATCGGACGGCATCAGGAGAACCCCAGCTGTTGTTGGCGGCCGCTCGCATGCACTCATCGCTGAGGGCCAGGGAAGCGACGAGGAGAAGGACGAGGAGGCAGAGCGTCACCTGGGCGGAGTTCGCCTGGTTACTTGACATCGGGAGCCTCGGGAGCCTGCGGAACCCTCTCTTTGGTTTAGACGTCCACTGCGAGCCGTGCAGCTTTGGCAATCGACAGGCTCGCCCGAGGGGAAAATTATGAGCGCGAGGCATCACCCACTCCCCCTCTTGCTCTGAAGGAGACGTTGCAGCACGACGACGATGAGGACGACGGCAAGGGGTGAGGACGCCGGCCGCACCAGGCACGGCCTCGTGCTGCCCCTTGCTCACATCGCGGCCCGGGCGGGCGCGCTTGAAGTGAACTTCCTGACTTGCTTCCCTAGGCGGCACGCCCGGGGGGGAAGTGAGAAGGGGCGGGCCTTCTCAGAAGGCTCGGAAGTTCCCCCGCCTTGGAATTGTCGTTGCCATCGCGCCTGATCGTCTTCGCGCCGTCGGCGTGGACACTTCTTGTCCGGGCACTGGAGCGGGCAAGCTTGGAATCAACCTCCTGGCAACAACGCCGGCCACGCGCTTTCGAGAAAGACAGTGATCACGTTCGGAGGGGAACGGGTTGGTAAGATGCAGGGCACGACTGTGTGATAAACACATGCAACATACGCGATAATACGGACGGTCTGGCTCATTTCTCCCAGCCCCACCCTCCTCACACAATAATTCAGAAGAAGGAAAACCATAAACTTTTGGCAGTTCGCGCGGATTTCTCCGCGCCGACCGCCAACAGATATACGGTTATGGCATTTTCTCCTCGTCGAATCTCTCAATAGCACGAGGCCCTCCGCTTGCCAGACAGAAGAGCTCGTGGAGTCCCAACCCCGGATGGCAGGGCGCCCGCAAGGCATGCAAAAGCCTCTCGGAGGAGCTCGATGGGCTCCTGGAGAAACTTCTGGAGAGTTTCCAGGCAGACGGGTCGGGAAACGCTCAGAAAATGCCTCTCGTCGGGACCCGCTGCAAGTTCAGATAAATCGCGCTGGGGACTTTTCACCGAAGCCGGAACGAGCTCTGGGGCTACGTTGCGGTTCCGGCTTCTTAATCTGCAGCCCTTTGAGCTCTCCATGGAGCTATCTGGGAACATCTCTCAAGAATATGAGACCATCTGCCGGCCAACGCGCGTCATGATGCTTGGGAGCGTGCTCTCCGTCACGGGCTTCGAGACCTGGCGCCCACGCGGCTTGGGGCCCTCAGAGGGCTCTGGGCCGAACGTCGTCCCATATTCGGCCTCGCTTTTCAGCGCGGGGGCGCGCTGTCCCTACGCACTGTGCTGCATGCGCGGCTGGACCTAGGACATCAATCATATCCTTCAAGGACATGAGACCCTCCGCTGGCCAAAATGATTAACATTCGAGGGTACCGGCCCTCAGGATGCACAAGAACATCCAGCAGACACGAAGAATTTCAGGGTACCCTCCCCGAAACGACCTCGATCTTATACCTCGGTCCGACTATACTGGTGTGAGCAGCAGGAGCCCTCTCGGCAAGCCTGGTGCTCGGCATCGCTCGGACGTCCATTCCCCGTGCATGTTTCGGCTTCGTGCGCGTTTTTTTTTGTCGCAAGATGGCCCACAAAGCTCCTCGATGGTCGTTGACGAGAAGAAGCGCGCACGTCCGCTTGATGCCATGGGTGTGGGAACAAGGGTCTAGGACGAAAACGGAGAGAAGGGGTCGTACTGTCTGGGCAGAGGGATAAGCAAACACAAAATAGTCGTCGGCTTGGGTACGCAAAGGTGCACATTTGTTGCGATAAGCGCGAGGCAACATAGGAACCCTTAAACGCGGCCGGAGTGCATTCAGCCCCTCGGACACTGGCAGCCCTTTGTCCTATCGCCAAAACATCTAGTGCCAATCCTCTACGAAAAAAATTGAGAGAACGAGCTGCCTGCAATCACTCGGGCAATGCGGTGGCAGGCCAAGGAGCAGCCAGAGAGGGAGGCGAACCAGGCGGAGCAGGAGAGGAACAGAGAAGGTAGCACAACGGCAACATACACGCTCAAGCGTTGAGGTCGACGATGCAAGCCGCGGGGAAGGGCTGGCGGACGATGGCGAGCAGGAGCAGGAGAAAGAGGTTGGAAGGCGAGGCAGATGGGGCGGGAGCGAGGGCGGGAAGGGCGGCGCAGCCGGACGGTTGGGAGAGGACGCGGAAGGCACTGGCAGAGGGTGAGCGGGCCGATACATACATGCTTTGCACCCTCCCCAACATCGGCAGCGAGCGAGAGGGGGAAGTGGGAAGGAGGAGGCCTTCTCAGAAGGCGGCGGGGCTTCTCAGAAGCCCTTGCGCCTTCTGAGAGGTTGTCTGCGTCTCCGGGGAAGGCTTAGAAAACTTTCAGAAGGCCGGACGACTTCCGAGCCTTCTGAAAAAGCCCGCCTCCTATCATTTCCTCCCCGGGCTCGCCGCCGACAGCCCCATGCACTCTCACGGCAAGCCGTTGATGGTGATCTTGTTCATCTTGATCGGCTCGATCGGATTATCATCTTTGGTCTTCACCTTGCTGATCGCCTCGACAATATCCATCCCGCTGGTGATCTTGCCGAACACAGGGTGCTTCGATGCACCAGGTGAGAACCAATCCAAGTTTGAGTTATTAGCAACGTTGATGAACATCTGTGAACCACCAGAATTTTTCTGACCGGTGTTTGCCATGGACAGCGTACCAATTGCGTTTGTATCCTTGCTGATGTTCTCGTCCTTGATGCATCCACCGTTGAACCTCTTCTCCGTTGCTCCAGTCTTCAAATTCTTGTACGTACCATTCTCTGGACCACCAGTGCCGGCTCTGCTCGACTTGGGGTCCTTTGCGTGCGGGCATCCGAACTGGTTCATGAAGCCTGGGATGACGCGGTGAAAGTGAATGCCATCGTAGAAGCCCTTTTGACAGAGGTCGATGAAGTTAGAGGCCGTAATGGGAACACGGTCCAAGTAGATCTCGGCCTCGAAGGAACCCATCGTCGTGTCAAACACTGCGGTGGGATTCGGCACCGCCTCGCCCTGCGCCCCCCTGCTGGAGCCTTCGGCGTCGGCAGCCGGCTTCGAACCACCGCAGCCCATTGCGACGACTGCCAAACAGGCGAAGCGCAACTCTTCTGGAAGACGAGCGGGGCTACTATCTGCGCTGCACGGACTTCTTTGGCCACAGCGGCTGCGGACGAGGGGGCCGAGAAGGGCGGAGAGGAGGACAAGGGTAAGGAGGGAACGAGGAGCGGCAGCTCTAGGAGGGAGCAGGATGAGAGGGTAGCCCCCCCAAAACTCGGATCTACCTGAAACCCTTCTTCTTCTTCTTCGAACTTCTCTTCGGATGTCTTTCTCCGTGAACCTTCTCTCGGCACTTCCCATTTCAAACTCACGCTTGGACGCCTACTGTATCGAGCGGGGGGAGGAGGGAGAGCTGAGGTCGAACACTGGTTCTATCTGACGCTACGGCTCTCTTCAATCTTTATGTTTGATACAATCATGCGTCTGCCTGTGTTTTCCGATGTCTGGAAACGCGTATACGAGAGATTTCGCTATGGCGTCGGATAGTGATCGAGCATCGCATGAAACACCTCTGTTGGAGAGATCGCCAAACACCAAGCCCTTTGTAAGGCTGGCATGCGAAGTTCGGCAGTCCCCGCAGAACATCAAGGAAAACAGTGATACATCAAGAACACCCAGCGAAAAACAAGGAACGACATACACAACAATGTGTTTTCATTTGTTTTCACGTGCTTGCATTTACTCATCGATTCTTTCACAAGAATTCATTCCCAGCCGTGCTGTGGTGTTGGGTCCTCGTTTTGAGAGAGAGGGGGAGAGAGAGAGAGAGAGAGAGCGCCCCGCATCACATCTCCTCCTTATCCACCTGCTGCCACACTCCCGCCTCCGTGCATCATCCTCATCACCATCATCATCACCATCCTAATCATCATAATCATCAGCATCGTCATCATCGTCATCGTCGTCGTCACCATCATCACCACCAGCATGGCCACCACCATCACCATCACCTTCACCACCATCATCATCACCATCATCATCATCACCATCGTCATCACCATCACCATCACCATCACCATCATCATCACCATCATAGTCAGCATCATCAGCATCGTCATCATCATCATCATCATCGTCATCATCACCACCACCATGACCACCGTCATCATCATCATCATCATCATCACTATCATCACCATCACCAGCATCATCATCATCGTCGTCATCATCATGAGTAACATCACCATCAACATCACCATCATAACCATATTCGTCATTATCATCAGCATCGTCAACATCAGCAGCCTCATCACCATCACCATCAGCATCATAATCACCATCATCAGAATCATCATCAGCATCACTAACATCAACACCATCACCATCACACTTACCATCACCATCACCATCACCAACATAATCATCACCACAATCACCATCGCCATTATCCGAATCACCATCCCCATCCTCATGCTCCTCCTCCTCCTCCTCCTCCTCCTCCGCCTCCTTCCCCTCTTGATCATCACCATCATCATCATCATCATCACCATCATCCTCGTCGTCATCGTCATCATCATCATCATCATCATCATCATCGTCATCATCATCATCATCAATCATCATCATCATCATCATCATCATCACCATCACCATCACATCATCATCATCATCATCATCATCATCATCATCATCATCATCGTCATCATCATCATCAACATCATCATCATCATCATCATCATCATCATCATCATCATCATCATCATAAACATCATCATCACCATCATCATCACCATCATCACATTCATCATGGCCGTAATCATCACCATCATCGCTATCACTCCCGCTTCGGCACACCCGTCACACGCTTCGTGGCCCCATGCGGAGCCCCACCTACGGTCCACTTGGCGCCGCCCGCATCACGCGACACCCCAGTATCGGCACACCCCTCAGATGCTTCGTGGCCCCATAGGAAAACCCACTTACGGTCCCATTGGCACCGCCCGCATGCGGGCGCCGCCGCCGTTTCGGCACACCCCTCACACGGCTCGTGGCCCCATGGGGAGCTCCGCCTAAGGTCCACTTGGCGCCGCCGCAGGTGGGCGCCACCCCGTTTTCACCCCTGACACGTTCCGTGGCCACATAGAGGACCGAAGGCCCCAGTGGCGCGCCCGCGTGTGGGCGACACCCTTGTTTCGGCGCACCCCTCAAACGTTTCGTGGCCCCATGGGAAGTTCCACCGAAGGCACCAGTGGCACCGCCCGCATGTGGGCGCCACCCCGTTTCGGCACACCCCTCACACGCTTCGTTGCCACATAGGGAGGAGCTCCACCGAATGCCTCAATGGCGCCGCCCGCATGTGGGCGCCACCGCCGTTTCGGTACACCCCTCACACACTTCGTGGCCCCATTAGGAGTTCCACCCTCTCAAACGCTTCGCTGCCCCATAAGGAGGAGCCCCACCTACGGTCCCAGCGGCGCCGCCCCCATGTGGGCGCCACCCCGTTTCGGCACACCCCTCACACGCTTCGTTGCCCGGGGCTCCACCGAATGCCCCAATGGCGCCGCCCGCGTGTGGGCGCCACCGCCGTTTCGGCACACCCCTCACACGTTTCGTGGCCCCAATGGGCGCTCCACCGAAGGCCCCCATAGCGCCGCCCGCATGTGGGCGCCACCCCCGTTTCGGCACACCCATCCGCGTTTCGTTGCCCTATAGGGGGCTCCGCACAATGTCCCACTGGCGCCGCCCGCATGTGGGCGCTACACAATCTTGGCACACCCCTGACACGTTCCGTGGCCACATAGAGGACCGAAGGCCCCAGTGGCGCGCCTGCGTGTGGGCGACACCCTTGTTTCGGCGCACCCCTCAAACGTTTCGTGGCCCCATGGGAAGTTCCACCGAAGGCACCAGTGGCACCGCCCGCATATGGGCTCCACCCCGTTCCGGCACACCCCTCACACGCTTCGCTGCCACACAGGGAGGAGCTCCACCGAATGCCTCAATGGCGCCGCCCGCATGTGGGCGCCACCGCCGTTTCGGTACACCACTCACACACTTCGTGGCCACATAGGGAGCTCCACCCCCTCACACGCTTCGCTGCCCCATAAGGAGGAGCCCCACCTACGGTCCCAGCGGCGCCGCCCGCATGTGGGCGCCATCCCCTTTTCGGTTCATCCCTCATACGGTTCGTGGCCCCATAGGGAGCCCCACCTACGGTCCCAGCGGCGCCGCCCGTATGTGGGCGCCACCCCCGTTTCGGCACACGTTTCGTGGCCCTACACGGGGGGCTCCACCTACGGTCCCAGCGGCGCCGCCCGCACGTGGGCGCTACACCGTCTTGTCACACCCCTGACACGGTCCGTGGCCACATAGAGGGCTCAACCGAAGGCCCCAGTGGCGCCGCCCGCATGTTGGCGACACCCTTGTTTCGGCGCACCCCTCACACGTTCCGTGGTCCCAGTGGCGCCGCCCGCATGTGGGCGCCACCCCGTTTCGGCGCACCCCTCACACGTTTCGTTGCCCCATAGGGAGCTCCACCGAATGCCCCAATGGCGCCGCCCGCATGTGGGCGCCACTCCCGTTTCGGCACGCCCCTGACACGTTTCGTGGCCCTATACAGCGTTCCCAGTGTGCCCTAGTGGTGCCGCCCGCATGTGGGCGACACCCCTGTTTGGTTCCCCCCTCACACGCTTCGTGGCCTTATAAGGCGTTCCACGTGTGGCCTCAGTGGCGCAGCCCGCATGTGGGCGCCAGCCCTGTTTCGGCACACCCCTCACGCGCTTCGTGGCTCTGCAGCTCGTACGGTCCGAGTGGCGCAGACGCATGTGGACGGGGCCACTGGGGCAGGAGGAGATCCCTATGGGGCCACGAAACGTGTGATGGGTGTGCCAAACTGGGTGCGGCGGACGCATGTAGACGGTGCCGCTGTGGCCTTCGGTGGAGCTCCCTATGGGGCCACGAAACGTGTGAGGGGTGTGCCAAAATGGGTCTGGCGGACGCATGCGGACGGTGCCGTTGGGGCCTTGGGTGGAGCTCCCTTTGGGGCCACGAAGCGTCCAAGGGGTGTGCCGGAATGGATGTGGCCGACGCATGTGGACGGTGCCACTGGCGCCTTCGGTGTAGCTCCCTTCGGGGCCACGATGGGAGTGGGGGACGCATGTGGGCGGTGCCACTGCGGCCTTCGGTGGAGCTCCGTATGGGACCACGACACGCGCGAGGGGTGTGCAGAGATGGGTGTGGCGGACGCATGTGGACGGTGCCTCTGGGGCCTTCGGTGGAGCTCGCTATGGGGCCGCCGGCCGTGTGAGGGGTGTGCCGAAATGAGTGTGGCGGACGCATGTGGACGGTGCCTCTGGGGCATCCGGTGGGGCTCCCTATGGGGCCACGCTGCGAAACGTGTGGGAGGTATGCCAGAATGGGTGTGGCGGACGCATGTGGATGGTGCTACTGTAGTAATAGCTGTAGTAGTAGTTGTAATCGTAGTAGTAGTAGTAATAGTAGTAGTAGTAGTAGTAGTAGTAGTAGTAGTAGTAGTTGTAGGTGTAGTAGTAGTAGTAGTAGTAGTAGTAGTAGTAGTAGTAGTAGTAGTAGTAGAGTTCGTAGTCTTATTACTAGTAGTCGTTGTAGTAGTAGTCGTAGTAGTAGTAGTAGTAGTAGTAGTAGTAGTAGTAGTAGTAGTAGTAGTAGTAGTAGTAGTAGTAGTATGTTGTAGTCGTAGTAGTCGTAGTAGTTCGTAGTAGTAGTTAGTAGTGTAGTAGTAGTAGTAGTAGTAGTAGTAGTAGTAGTAGTAGTAGTAGTAGTAGTAGTAGTGGTAGTAGGTAGTAGTAGTTGTAGTAGTTAGTAGTAGTAGTCAGGTAGTAGTAGTAGCAGCAGCAGCAGCAGCAGCAGCAGTAGTAGTAGTAGTAGTAGTAGTAGTAGTAGGTAGAAGTCGGTAGTAGTAGTAGTTGTAGTAGTTAGTAGTAGGTAGTAGTAGTAGTAGTGTAGTATAGTAGTAGTAGTAAGTAGTAGGTAGTAGTAGGAGTAGTTAGTAGTAGAGTGTAGTAGTAGTAGTAGTAGTAAGTAGTAGTAGTAGGTAGTAG